CCACCATTCCCTTTCCCCTCCTCTTCCCCCATTTCTTCCCGCACATGCACGCACCTTCTAAATTCTAAGGGCCCCCGCAAGACTTGCAATCAGGGCAGCAATGGGCAGAAGCAGCTTGTCACAAGCTAGTCCCCTGAACTTGACCCCAAGCCCTCCTTTTCTCTGACTTCCCAGAGAGCCAGGGCAGCGGGGCCTAGGCTCTCCTGTTGCTTCTTCTATGCTAAGCCCTTTCTTGTTTTACTGTCCCCTAGCTTTATTAAATGTTCCCTCATAGTCACCTGGACTCATAGTGTGAAATTTTTCCTGCACTAGGTCAAGAACCCACACACTACCGCCAAGGGCAAGGTCCCCTTTCTGGTAACATCACCACTTGGACTAGAATTTTAAACAGGGCTTTTTGTAAGCCTTTTCATGCAACGGAGCCAAACACATTACATTTAGTAGATTGTACACAAACAGCAGCAATCCCCACAAAAAATTATCTGTGTTAATGGAAAATAGCACCTAAGTTTTCAATTACAGTCTCAAACGTTAAGCACTTTGTATAGGACCAGCGGTGGACGGAGATCACTCCAAGTTCAGGTCAGCCCGAGGACAGAAACGAATCGTGGCCTGGCTCCAGGCCCTTTGTTCCCTCCACAAGAGACCATTTTCCAAAGTTTCTAAATTTACTGTAGACTATGAAAGCCATTCAGGATGATGCTTTGCTTTTCAAAGAGCTATACACCTGCACATGCTAGAGCCAAAGCTCTCCCCTGAAGCTCAGCACCCCAAGCCTTATCTTATTCTCTTCTTTTAGAAGCCTTTCTCCGAATTCCAGAAATTCAGACTGACTTGGCTATATTCCGCGGTAGACGTTCCACAGTCAGGACCAGTGTCGATGTGTGTTCCTCATACTTCATGCCTAGCATGTTGCTGCTTCCTCCAAAAACAGTGGAAAACAAAGGCTTCACTCCTAACTTGCTACAGATGCTACAGATGTTTCAGAGGAAATGCTTCTCACACAGCTTAGTATAAGCAAGATCAAATCCAACTGACTACATGGCCAAGGCAAGTGAAGTGGGTTAAGCAGGCGAGGTCAGAGGCAACAAAGAGCAAAAGACAGCCCGATCGGGCGTGGTTCAGCAGTTGAGCATCGATCTAGTATCTAGGAGATCGTGGTTTGATTCCTGGTCGGGGCACATGCCCGGGTTGCAGGATCAATCCCCAGTGGGGGGCGTGCAGGAGGCAGCCAGTCAATGACTCTCATCATTGATGTTTCTACCTCTCCTTCTCCCTCTTTCTCTCTGAAATCAGTAGAGACATATCTTTTAAAAAGAGTAAAAGACACACATCAGGTCTCCCTTCACGCCATCGCACACAGGGTCTTGTATGACATGCTCCACCTAGAAGGCAGCCAGCACTCCACAGCCAGCCCACCAAATGTTGGAAGCAGGGCCTGCTAGTGCCAGGCCTGCTTTCCAAAGCAGCTCCCAAACCAAAGATACATGACACTGTGAAAGTTTAAATGGTAACAACTAATTTTTTAAAATAGCCACTACCATCACCACCACCCCCCAAAAAATCCATAGACAACCATTTGCAATCTCAGATATTTGGATTCCAATCTCAGATTTGGAATCAGAATACCGGCTCTATTATTTTCTAGCTCTTCATGTCTTTGGCATACCAATGGAATTCTGAGTTTCACTATCCTCATCTGAAAAACAGGGTCATAAACATGAAACAAAATAATGCTTACTACTTAAAACAATTCCCAACACAGGGTAAGCAATACAGTTCCCTGTAAGTAAAGAGTAGATCTTACCTTCAGTAAATTATCTGCTGGGGTCAAAGAACCTAACTGAAGATCCCAAGGAGGTGGACTTCTTAGGGGATTTAGAGCCTTTCAAATTCTGATCACTGAATACTGAGTAGTGAAGTTGTTAGAAACTAAACAGAACCAGCAATAAAGAATGCCTAGCAAGAGATACTTAATGAGCTTGAAGTGGCTCTTCTAATTAAGAGATCTAATAACTGTCACCAGTTAATGGCCACAAAACGGCAGTGAAGTACACATTGAGGGGTATATGTTTCAGGGAAAACAGTGGCAGCTTCTAAAATAAGCTGTTAAAACAAACCCAAGGGTCTTAAGGTAAATTTTTCAAATCAGACGAACTTCTATTGTCAGATTATAAACTCCTGCCCATTATTAACACTTCTACTAGTTTTTATACTGTTTTAAGCAAATTACAAATACCAACCGCAATATTAAGAAGAGTCTGTTTAAAGAATTGCTTTATTAGTACAAACTATTAATACATACAAACTATAAAGCACTAAGAAACTTAAATCTCTAGGTCATAGCAAACAGGTGGCAATTCAACATCCAGAGTCGACAGAATGCTTGAGGGAGACTGCAGCGGATCTAGAAAACAGGAATTGCTTATTCAATATCTGCAAACCCTTGATTCACTGTCCATCTCAACATGGACATTAGCTGTCACTTTTAACCATCAACCGTTTTTCCCTTTGTCCAATGAATCCCTACACCCGCCCCACCTACACACATACATACACACTTGCTAGAACGTAGCTTTGGTCCCAGAATTAACCTCATTAGGAAATAAATCTTAGAAGTATCCAAACCTCTACTGTTCTTACAGATCCAAGTAAGAGCCAACATTATCACTAATGTAAATTTATAAAACAGTGTAAGTTATCTCATCAGAACAAATAGAAAAATGTACTGATGATGGCTCCTGACCACCAGTTTGAACCAAGACCTCAAACCTTGCGCAGCGGGAAGGTTTTGCGATTCCACGCTATTGCACCAGTGTCTTGATCCTGTATGAGCTCTGCAGATAACTTGGAATTCTCATTCCAAGCAAGTTTATTATACTTCAACTTATAACCTAAGAAGCTAGATGCTAAATTCAAACTTGTTTGGCTGTATCTAACGCTGTCCAGATTCCAAAATGACTTGATTTTACCTGGGCATTTGGACTAAAAGGCAATACCAACTGAAAATAGTTTTCATTACTCTGAAACCTTTTCCTGAAGTTTGAAGGACAGAAATGACTTGTAGACTAACCTCCCACACAACTCTGTCCCCACGGTGATACAAGTATAATGACACAAACTGTCTGAGGCCCTTCTCGAAGGGCGCTTGTTTACTTACCTGACTCCCACAGTGGAGAGGGCACCTTCAGAGGTGAAGGGGGACCGAGGTGTAACAGCTTTTCAAGTTTCCTGTCCTCATCAAGGATCATGAGAGGCACTCCACTCAAGGGGAGCCGTGAGATCTGGTGTTCTTCAGGCAGGTCAAAACTCTCAAAATCTGCCCAAGAGAGAAAGGGTTTCGTCAGGGCAGCAATTCTCAGTGTGGACAGTGGACTCCTGGGAGTCTGAAACTCTTTCTTCAGGTCCACAAGGTCAAAACTATTTTTTTTAACAACATGACACTTTTTCCCCACTGTGTTAACATTTCCGATGATGGCACAAAAGCAATGGTGGATAAAAATCACTGTGCCTTAGCCTGGCCAGCGTGGCTTAGAGGCTGAGCATCAGCCTAGGATCCAGGAGACTGCGGTTCGATTCCCGGTCAGGGCACAAGCCTAGGTTGCAGGCTCAATCCCCAGTATGGGGCATGCAGGAGGCAGCTGATCAATGACTCTCTCATCATTGATGTTTCTATCTCTCTCTCCCTCTCCCTTCCTCTCTCTGAAATCAACAGACATATTAAAAAAAAAAAAAAAAAATCACTGTGCCTTAGCATGGATCAAGGCTGGGGCAATACACTTTAGTCATTACTCTGTTCCTCACAACCATTCCCCTGCAATAAAAAAATGCAAGTTTCACACATCACTTTACCATATGCAGTAAACAGATTAATTTTCTTAGCTCTCAATCTTTGAGAGCATGTCTTTTTAACCTTCAGTACAATAAAATGAGACATATGCCAAAAAGCACTCTGCTACATACTGAAGGACCATGGTGATCTTGAGGAAAAAGGATTTCAGCAATTATCTGATTCGCAAGCTAAACTAGAGGCCTTTTTCTGAACACCATTTAGTTGAAAGAACACCTGAAAGACAAACTGTGGTTACTCAGAATTGAGTGTTGGCTGCACATTTTCTCAGAGAAATGAAAGGAGTCTATCCCTTCGAGGAAAGCAGTATTTGTTGCCAATGAGAAAATTCACAATTTCAAGAATAAACTAGAATTTTGGAAAACTAATCTGCAATCATTAGCTTGACGGCTTCCTCATACTTCAGACTTCTCTGATGAAATCAGTGGTGATATTAATGAATGCGCTTTTGAAATTGCATAGTGAAGCATTTCAACATTTGAATAATCTACATTTTTCAATAAACAATATTCCTAAATGACCAATGCATGATGAATGCAAGGATAAAAGATACGTTTGAAGCACAAAATAGACCAATGGATTTTATTGTCAGAGTATAATATGTTCACTGATAACGGTTTCAGATTTCACATTGCAACTGTATGTTCACAAACAGCCACTGGTTGAATTTTAGTGTAGTATCAAAGAAACTATCTATACTTATCTGAAAAGACAAATGTTTCTCCCTTTCCTAGCTCTCTAGCTGCATGAGGCCAGATTTTTTTCATATACTTCAACCAAAACAGATGCAACAGATTGAATGCAGGCATCAGATGAGGATCTAGCTGTATCATATTAAGCCAAAATAAGCAAATTTTTAAAAATAGAAAACCTGTCAGTCTTCTCAGTAAGTTTTTTTGTTTTGGAAAAGTTATTTTTTGTGAGTGGGGTTTTTTTAAGTTTATATTAATATAATAGGTTTATTATTTTTTAACCAATTAATAATCTTAAGTATAAACAGAACAAACAACCAAAAGTTCTTTGGGGGGGTCTTCATTAATTTTTAGAGTGTAAAAGAGTGATTAAACAAAAAATTTGAGAACTACTGTGTTATTTAAAACTGGTTTTTCTTGCCCTGGCTGGTGTGGCTCAGTTGGTTGGAGTGTCGTCCCATACGTACACTGAAAGGTCATGGGTTCGATTCCCAGTCAGGGCACATCCCCAATCACAGGTTCAGGTATTTCAGATATATGTAGCAGGTTGGAGGAGTAAAAAACTTATGTTTTCACTGGGTATATGAAGTTTTCGGGCATTGTTCAATTTAACATAAAACCCACTTTCTAACAGGCTTACTAGGGCTGTCCACTATAGACTTGTTCAAGGTTAGTGAACACATCTCCCCCCTAGGAGGTAATATCTTGAGGACAGGGAAAATGGTCTCCACACCGTCACTCCAATTCCCTTTCTGGCCTAAGATGATACCTTACAAATAAATCTACCAACAAGTATATTTGTTCAAAGCAACCCAGATTCAGACAGTCTCGTTATAGTTTTGGGTCATGTCATATTCGTAGTCATATCAAGTTACAGCTGAATTGGATCCTAAGAGAAACTCATGGCTAAAGCACTTTTGAAATACCAAAAGAAACTACCTAGAGGATTGAAGGGAAAGAATTTTTCTATCTCTGGGTAGGTGTCATCCACGGCAGGAACAGAGCTTTTTGCTTTAACAGTCTTCTCAGTCACCTAAAATAATCCAAGAAAATATGAGTTAGTGAGAGGGCTTCTTTAAGACCTGTGAAAGCTTCACCGCATTTAAAATTTTTCAATTTCATGCTGACTAAGAATGATAATCCTTAGCTCTTATGATTACAAACACAATTCAACAAGCAATTCTGGTAGCATGGCTCAAAAGTTAGTCTGGAATTTAAGTATCAGCTCCTGTCAGCCTGTCATCAAGAATGCAGAACAGAGGTAATTAACTCACTCAGCCTAACAGAGGAGGAAAGCACTGAAGCTGATCCTAAAAGCCAGTTTTGGCTTTTGGCAGTGTGATTTTCTGTGTGTTTCCATCAGTCTTACCTTAATTAGTTGTTTCTTCCTAATACACATTAAGCAAAACAATTATTCAAATAAAGTGTTAATCCACACGTCCAAGTCATCTTTCTCAGCCAAGTTCTCTCAGTCTGGGGTGCACTGACCTGTAGCTCTAGCTCATACACAAACTTAATCGTACTAGCAAATTATCACCTAAGGAGCTGGTGCTTGCTCTGGGAGGTGGGAAGGGAGAATGGCAGCACCTGAACTATCATATTAACAACCTCTTGCAAAGCACCTCCCTCTCCGTACTTTTTCTGTACGTGTAAGTAGATGCAGTCATACCTCATTCTATCACCATGCACTTTATTGCACTTCATAGATGTTGCTTTATTTTTCTAAAAATTGAAGGTGAGACCCTCCACCATCAAAAAGATGACTTGCTTTATGGCAATACTTGCTTTATTATGGTGGCCGCAATATCTCTGAGGTATGCCTGTACTACCAACAAACCTGCTACAAGACATTAGTTAAGGGCAGGTGAAGCAAAAATATTCAACAGCTGCTGGGAGGCACAGAGGAAGGCCATAAAAACAGTATGATTCTCCTCTGCCAATCTGTTTGCTAGACTATACTTGCCCTTCTCACTGGGAAGAAAGCCAGTTAGGAGGCCAATAGTCATTTTAAGAGCCCAAAGTGCTGAAGTGTTTAAACAGTGTCTTTATACACAGCACTTACCTTTTTAGCAGAGAACGTTGTCTGTTTCTGTTTGAGAGGTCCAATAGCCTTTAAGGACTTTTCTGTAGCTCTGTTAACAGTTCCCAAAGCCTTTCTGGGAGCCTTCCGTAAGGCTGGAGGAGCATCAAACATTTTGCCAACATGTGGTGTTGAAATCTGAGATCTCCCATCTAAAGCTTTGACTGCTAAAAAAAAAAAAAAAAAAAAGTACCATAAGATTATTCAGGCAACACACATCAGTGCAACTTGCAGGATAACTGTGTATAAACTTGGCCTAATTCTCACCACAAATTCAACCCCCATTTTGGCAGTGGTATGGCCACTGTCAATCTCATTCAAATATTGGACTTGAGAGACTCATAACAAGCACGTTGCAAGAGCATACCTCAGAGATTCTGCAGGTTCGGTTGCAAACCAAAGCAATAAAGCAAGTATCACAATAAAGTGAGTCGTAACCTTTTAGCTCATAGAGGGTCTTGCCACCAATTTGTAAAAAATGAAACTTCTGCCAAGTGCAATAAACAAAAGGAGGCATGCCTGTATTCGGCAAACTTGACTCCAATTGCCCTCAAGGTACACTAAACGCCTCCCCAGGCTCCAGGCCGCATCCACAGCTGACCCACAGTACCTGTGCATCCGACTGCTGCCTGCATACTTACAAGGCCGGGACCCCAGCTTCAGCCGGTCCTTGGGAGTCGCGAGGGTGCCCAGTTCTCCATTCTCCTTATCCACAAAGATCACAGTAGCCATTCTGGATTAACTAGGGGTGCGAAAGATATATTAGACCCCGGGGGTGAGGGAAGACCAGAGAGCCTAAGGCGTAGCACAGACCAAACTTTCCACACGGGGCACGCCCACGCAGAGGCAAGGGCTAAGCGGAGGCCGAAGCGCGAGCCTGAGCCAACGGGCACTTAATTCCTGAAAGCTGCGTCAGAAACTCTGAATTCCATTCGAGTTGGCGGTTCGGGGCTGGCAGAGACCCGGTACTCATCAGAACCGAACCGTCCGGAGTCGCGATGCAGTCCAAGGCCGCAGCTGAGCCTGGCTCGGAAGCC